CCCCCCCAAAAAAAAAAAGGCACACAGAGACCAAAACTACATCGAACGGTTCAACAAACAAAAAATGACAAGTCTTGAATGATCACAAAGTCATTTTTATTTATTTCTGATATCATCTTGCCAATAGAAGAAGCATCATGTAATCAGTGTCAGACATCATGTATACACAATACATCCAAACAAACTGCTGAGGGCTACACGAGTCAATCTTCAGCAAAAATAAAAAATCTTTAAATAGCTGCATAAAAAAAAAGATGTCAAGAAAAGTTATGATTTTTAAAAATGTAAATGTCTATATAATATTAATGGATATAATTGCAAGCAATATTATAAAGAGAATGATAAAGGCAGAAGCCGTGAAAATAATTTGTTTATCTCCATGACAACCGACTGATTCTTTGACTGCAAAGACTGTCACATCACAGGACCTTTCCTTACGGACCATAACATTATCTGCAACTCCAAAAAACTTCAAACACAACAACATTCCAACAAGGAACTAAAGTGGACCTCATCACAACAAGATTCACCACATTTTAATACCTTTTGAATAAAATCTTTGGGCATTCGTATGATAAAAGTTAGCGGTGGTTTCTTTCCCTTTTTACTCCCAGAACAAAGCAAAGTCTATTCTGAGCAGAACCATTCTCCTGGTTGTAAAACCAAAACCTTCTTCGTTGCTGGCTGCTATATGGCACGACTAGGCTCGTCCAACAGCTGTCGATGAGGAAGAGGAAGTGTAGAGTCAAATTTTACAAAAGAAAAGAAAAAAAAATCCCTGAGAATTGTTCCACACAAACTCATTTCTTTTGAAAAAAAACAACCAAAACCAACTCATTCAACACTAATGAGGCATCTTCCAAGATTTCAGATAACTTTGACATTAGGTACCAATACTTTCTGACAATAAAAGAAGTCCCCCTTTTCCGTCTCTTCAAATCAAATTAGGGTCTGAGGGCTCAATAGACACAAACAATCATGGGAGCAGTTCACAGATGATTTTTTTCCCATTTTGAGCACTCTCCAGTGACAAAAAATCCAACTTTAAATCTCCTGTTACCACATGGCACGCTCTCAATCTGTGGTCAAATCACAAATTCCGCCTTAGATTACATAACAAGATTCTCCGACAATCACAGAGAAAATCACAACAATTTGTTCCTCACAAACGTTCACCAGCTGTTCACACATGTACTTTACCCAAAATTGTGAAATTATTTTTCCCAGCAGTTTCTGATCACACTTGCACCACTTCCTGTGTACCGATGTATATTTACACCACATACTACTAGTTCTACTAGTCCAGTAGCAGAATCTTGGGAGATATCGGCTGCATAGGATGGTAAAACCTTTTTTTCTTCTTCAAAATTCAAATTTTGGATTTCAGAAAGGTCAGAAAAGATACATACATGATAAATGTCGGTATCATTTTTTCAAAAGAATGAAAGTTTTTTCTCTCTCCTGAAAATTTTACTCTCTTGGCTTAGAACTGTTGAACAGCTAGCTGACAATATTCTTCCAATCACGTCTGAATATCCACTCCAGGAAGAGGGCTCCATCGTTGTGTGTTGTGTCAGTTGTGATGACTTAGACATTCTCCAGGGGGGGTGTGTGTGTGTGTGTGTGTGTGTGTGTGTGTGTG